CAGGAGGACCGGTGGTTTTCTGTTGGGGTTTTCCTTCCCCTAGTCACAGGTTCCAGTTATTTAAAGGCGCCGAGACTCGCAAAATAAGAAATAAAAGAAAATTTCCTCATTAAATATATATTGATAGTTTTATCAATATTTTTATCTAGATTAATTTTATCAAATGTTTAAATCAGCCTTTATTAATGAAGCAAACAATCTCTTTGTAAGGATGTTACGCCAGTGGTGTGTATACACCGTTTAACACAGCCAAATGTTACCCCTGGGCCGAAATCCCTCCCAAATCACATAGAATATACAAAAAATACACTAACACAGTAGCAGGTGTCTTCACGACCGTGTCCCCACTTATGACACGTGCGGACAGGTGCCCGTGACTACGAGGGCATCGCATTGATTGAAACTTACCTGATTAATTTGCGATGATTTTAATTTATGTTTCTATGAATAAGCTTCTCTATATCAATTTCTATTTAATTTCATACATGTAATACAACTTTGTAGAAAATAGAATATTAAAATTTACAGTTGATTTAATTTAACTTTGCTTTGTAGAATAAAATTTAAACTAGCTGACAAATTAAGTTCATGTGAAATTTAAGTAAAGTCTTTTGATATCTTTTTAGAATATGCATTGTCAAGAAAATGCTTTTTAACCAATTAAAACATATGTTAAGACGGAACTTTCATTTTGTAATTAAATGACTGTTTCTAAGTTTCTCCTGTGTCAAGCCACAGCTTGATTATTACCTTCAAGGGAACCTAAAGACACCATATAGTATTTAATATTTCAAAGAAAATTATACGGAAATACATTGTTCTGATGTCACGATCCAAATGTTTGTCTTCAAGTTCCCCGGAAAACCTGTTGTCCTTTTTACCCTATATCATAAACATATGTGGTAATTATAACTGTGCAATTTTTATCGTTTAAAGAAACCAAATATAACGCAGTTAAAAGTAGCTATTACAGCAAAATTTAGATAATTTGTTTGTCCCAGCAAAGCATAAAAAGAAGACTAGAGAAACTCTGTTTTCCCCAGAAAATGAAATTACCAGTAACAATATGAGATATTTGGAAAATCAAAAAGTTTTGAATACTCCCGCAATTGACTACGAAATACAATTTTAACTCATAAAATGAAATGAGATTCAAATAAGGTCGACACACACCATATCAAATAGTTGAGAATATCAAGTATTTCCAATTCATGCGAGAGTAGTCTTACAAAGAAATTATGTCAAATATATATATATTAACAATTCTATTTTCTATAAAAAAAAAAATAATACCTAGTGTAGCAATATTTATCGTTACAGACAATAATTGCAGACAAATGCATGCAAATTAAGGTTTCTTGAATATTAGACTTGAGAATATGAAAATAAAATGAAAGATATGCACTGGAATTTTATACTAAGTCATTGAATATAATTGGTGGTTCCGAAAATCAAAGATTAAAGAAATAGTTATACTTTAAGGAAGATATGGGTAAAAAACAATTATTTGTTTGCCCACTCTTTATCTTATTTTATTTTCATGTTATTTTGTTTTGAACACCTCAGTGCCTCTCAGTATGTCCACAGTAGCCTCAGTTAAAACCTCAGTATGATCACACAGTTTCAGCTCAGTTCCCTCAGACAAACCTCAGTTCCCCTCAGTACTTCAACAGTAGCAACAGCGTTAACCTCAGTGCTCCTCAGTGGCACAACAGAATGGACAGTGAAAACCTTAGTGCAACTCAGTACTTACTCAGTTTCTCAATAGTAGCCTCAGTACAACTCAGGGTTTTCTCAGCACCCTAGACTTCCTCAGGGTTTTGTTGGATTCTCAGTGCTTTTTGGTTACAGTAAAAAAAAAATAATACAGTAACTAAAAACAATGAGAATCAAACAAAAACCTGAGGAAGTACTGAGTGGTACTAAGCCCGGTACTGAAAAAATAAGGAAGTCCTATAGCACTGAGGTTTTCACTGTGTACACTGAGGACATACTGAGAGGTACTGAGGTTGACTCTGTTAGTACTGAGGAGGTACTGAGGGGTACTGAGGTCATTCTGAGGCCACTGAGCTGATACTGAGAAGCTCTGAGGTTTAATGCTGTGGTTACTGAGGTAATCCTGAGTGACACTGACACTATTTTTTCAAAACCTTACTATTTTTATGAGTTTTATTGTAATCTGATGTTCAAATTTCTTTATTTTCAAACCCTTTCAAATCAAAATGTGTAGGTACAAGTATCTTCAAACTCCCCGTCAACAGTAAAACTGAAATTCGACTCTTGTTCATTCAATTCATTTAATTATTTGCGTACATTGTGTACTTTGTTTGGAATAATCAAAAGGATTACGTGTTCTATGCATATTTTATTAAGAAATTTGATATCTGATTAATTTGTCTTTGATATCAACCGATTAATTATAAAAGTAAATTATTTTTGAAATTTAGTTTTTCAAAATTTATCCAACCAATGTTAAACATCATGATAAAATAGCAGTTCCCGTCTAATAAATCTTATCCACACCTGAACATTTGATATGCTACGTATTTGTTGTGCAATTAAAGGTGTCTTTAATGTTTAATTAACATATAATTTGAAAATGAACATGGATTACTGAAATTTCAAAATATCTATGTGCATGCAAAAAAAAACACCGGCAGCGGAAAATAATACCGGTTTATTTTGTTTTAAATCGAGTTTTATTTCAAAGAAGTTTCAATTACTATTTATTTAGCACACGCGCAAATTATTAGAAAATCCTGTGTAAAGATTGAATACTCATAAATTTAAACAATAAAGTAGTTAGAATAATTAGGGGTTTTTACCAGCTATACGAATGGCTTGAATCTAAAGTGTCTCTTTAAGGACGTTGTCAAAATACATATAAATATAAAAGCAATTCTAAATACCAGTATATTTTTTTATCTTTATGCTTTTGCACTTGATACTTTACTGCGTTAATTGCATCGTTTAAAATGGTCATTAATTTTATACAAGATAGTCATTTTAATCGTACAAAACACAAAACACACATTTTGCAGTATTGAGAATGGTTTGAAAGTGTTAAGTTCTAAATACTGTTCATCGAAGAGCCCTCATTGTCTGACGCTTTTTCAAAAACGAAGGGGGATTCAATTCCTATGTCATTCTGTCCGTCTGTTAGGCTGTATGTCACAAAAAAAATTTTACGTGAAGGGATGGGGATGTTATACTAAACATACATAAGATTCGACAATATCTAAGTACTCTAAATTTTTGATCCTTTGAATTTGCTTGTTTTATGTTAGTATCCTTTTCCCTTAGATGGAAGATTTAATATACTGTAATCCTTAGGAAAATACACACTGTATTCAAGAAAAATATTCTGAATATTCTAAAAATGAATTAACATCAAATTATACAAATTGAATAGATAAATTATATCTTCCAAAAGTAAGTAAACAACGGTGATTTCTGTTCACAACTTCGTTATCTACCTGTATAACATTCTTCTTGGGTGGGGATGAAAATAGGGTAATTATTTAAATGTATGCTGCTGTAACTGAACTAGATAAACCCTACAAGAACATGTCATATCATGACAAAATCTCCCCAAGTTCAGAAAGCATATTATGTCATTGCTCAGAGCTTCTTTATGTTTAAACATAGATTTCAATTAGTATTGTCATGGACCTTATTTTACCTTCTATGATATTTTTTTTACTGAACAAATTAATTGCAATTTTTTTTTGTAAAATAAATACTTTAAAAGTAAGTTATTTTGTGAATATTTTTCTAAATTTATAATTTATGCATTAATTCAGTTAACGTTTCCTTGATAGATAAAAGAACAACCAAGTACGCCTGACAAATGCAGAGATTCCACAGATCATTATTGTAAGTATGTTTTTAACTATTCTTTAAGGTTTGTTACATTTTACTATAACATTTTTTTTTCATTTGACAGAAAATTAATTACCTAAGGAGCCATGTCACACCAAGCCTTTTTGCAAATAACATTACTATCGTTCAAAATTTGATATTGATAAATATATCATATGAATGTTTATTAAAAATTCGAAGAAAAGCTGGAGAAACATTTTTATTTTTTTTAAAATAACATATTTATGAAAGTAAAACATTACTTAGGAATTGTTTTTAAACAAGTGGTTGTTCTCAATGAGAAATATAAAATGCAGAATGTAGTATTCCTATAATTTTTTTTAGTTTTGCGTAATTATATTCTGCCTTGATATAGACACAAAATTTAGCGATGAAAAATTCAATTATCCCGGTTTATTAAATGTGTGTTTTTATTACATTTCGTGTTTTCACAACGCCTGCTCGAAAAAGTAATCCTATATGTACTACTTGAAATTTTGGGGAAAAATAAAGGAAAAATAACAATAATACATAAATTTACTATACAACAATCGCACGGAAATAAATCCTTATATACTCTTTTTGATTTTTTTTTTTCTATTTTTACGTTAAAAAAAACTTTCAGATTGGCGAGAGAAAAAATATGAAATTTAAATATACCATAGTTATTTCAAAAATAATCAATCGCGAAGTTTAAAGATTTAGTTTTCTAGCTTTGTTTTTCAGTTTTAATATTCATATACATGCATCATTTGCTGTACATGTATCTACGTTGCTTATTATCGTAAATCAGTTCCATGACCAAAAACAAACTTAGATGATGTTGCCTACAACCATTAGAAGATAAAATAAGGATCCTTTTTAACATTTTTATCATAAAAAAATTTCGAATTTAGTTCCACCAGATGTTTTATTGGATGCGGAACTGAATGAGGAGGAATGTAGTCTTACCTTAAAAGCCAAGATCTTTTCTTGTCTACACGTGGAAAATAGAGTTTGGTATAAAGATGACAATGAATTAAGGATTAAGTCTAATCCTAAATACAAAATCTCCAGTGGTTCCGATGAGTCTATCCTAGTTATCTCACCGCTAGATAAGGCAGACGAAGGAACGTATGCATTTTTAGTAGAAAATTGTAATGGAAGAGGAAAAGAGCAACCTTGTTAAATTCAGGATACCTTATGGTAAGTCAGTTATGATATTATCGAATGATTAGTTATTAGGTTTTTAAATTTCTATAATCATTGAATACTTATATCCTTATTTAATAAAATATATAACCAAAAGTTATAATTATTCCTTATACTTTATCTTCGAGGTACTTGGACGTAAAGAGAACCTAAAGTTGGGCTAAAAATAATTCAAAGGACTTATTTTTCTCTTTAGATCCCCCAAAGCTAACGTTAAAACAAGAGCAATTTCCTGGGTTATCCAAATTAGAGGCAGATATTTACTCAAAATGGCCATTGATAAAAACGACATGGCTGCACAACGGTCAAACTATAAACTTGAAAGAGAAGGAAATCAACCCAACACGCAAAGAAAGTTATCATTTCTCTCTGACTATCCAACTGAATACTTTTCAAAAAGAAGTGAAAGGTTTTTACAAATGTGCCGCTTCAAGTTTGGCAGGAGAAGATGAGAGTGAAGAAATTTATGTGAATTTGAATGAAGGTATGTAAAGTTAAAAAAAAAACATCTAAATACGATGAATATTCTAGCAATGTCAAATCGATCATTATTTGATACTAGTTTACTCGGACCTTTTTCCGATGACACCAGGATACTCGTTAAAAAGTTTGAATACACTGTGTTTCTTTTCTTAAGTCTTGTTAATCTTTGCTTAACTATACTCTGTTTTCTTTAACATTAATAATACGTCTCAGCTTTAAACATCGAGTCAAACGAAATGGATTTTTTCACATATATTTATTTACTTATCAGGATAAAAATAAAATCAGTCACTACATCAATTTTTACAAGTGGTTTACAATTCTTTTGTAATACGTTGCGTTGTTGGGATACTGCAGTAGCTTGTTACGGTATTATTTCATATTTTTAATGTTAAGAAAACAGTTTCTCTGTATATGGTCGCCGGCATGGTGCAGTTGTTAAAGCTTCCGCTCAAGAATCGTAAAGTAAGCAGTTGAAGTTCACGTTGCGCGTTCGAATCCCACTGTGGTAGGTGAAGACCAGATGTACCAGATCTTGGGATGAGGCCGTTTAAACCGTGGTCAAATGTCGCAGTAGGTGCTTGCAGAAAAAAAAGATCCCTCGCAAATGGCCATAAGTGCTTAGTATAGAACACAATTTACAGTTCTCCACTAGCAAGTGATAGCGGCGTGTCCATATGAGTGAGGGACCTTAAACAACATACATGTACAAACAACCAACCTCTCCTATATGCTAACTTTAATCCGCATATAGCTGACTTTAAATATTTTCAAGCATTCAATAGTATTTTCTTTAGTATTTTTAAATATCTGCTCACTTTTTGAGTGGGTTTCGGCATTTCTATGTATGTTCGATTTCGCTACCATATACAAACAAACCAGTTAAATGATGATTTAAAATAACACTTGTACGTTTAGTGAGATCAATCATTGAAGCCATCCAAAATTAAGAACACAATAGATAAGAATGGCCGTGTTCCAAGTGTTTGGTTTCTAATTACTGTATATACACTGTCACAAGCTATATCGGGTGTGTTACAGTTGTATGCGACGGTGCGCTAATTACTGAATGCAAAATCATTGAAATAATGTATATTTTAAATAAATTTCTTTTTACATCTATATATGAACTTTACAATGAAAACAATAAGTTCATCCGAGTAACCGAGTACCATTTTTAGTGTTCGATATTCGGACGTTTATGGAGTTCCCCGTTAACCAGGTATATATAGGTACGGGTTCAATCGCGGTTCATGTAAGTTTTAAAAAAGTGAATACATTTGGTTGTTTCTGTTTTATTTTAATTCAATTAAAGCAGAGATGTTAGTTTAAGAATGTGTTTTATAATGTGTTTCTTTTTTAAAGCTCCCCTATAAATTGATTCCCCTTAACTTACATTGTAACAGCAGGTGAATATCTTATTTCATTTAAGAACCACCGGTCGTGTATCTGAAGAAGACAGTAAACAAACATGAACAGAGTGTTACATTCTGTGCAAAAATTAAATCGGGCAACCTGAGGAAATCTGTGACCTGGATGAAAAGTGGAGAAGTCCTTGACATTTCCGATACAAACAAATATTTTTCATGCAACTTTCTATACATAGCCCAGAGCTTAAAATTTATTCAGTTGAAAAAAAGATGAAGGAGAATATTATTTAATCGCAGAAAATGATGGCGGCAAAGGAGAAAGTAACATTGTTCCATTTCAGATTGAGACAGGTAAAGTACAATTGAAATGATTTCATTTTTCTCCTGCTAATTTTACCCTGACTTGTCTCGTTTGAATTCTCCCTGTCCATTTCAATTTATGTAACTGGTTTTTCATAGAGATATTCTGACTATAATTAAATGATATATTGTTTTAATTATATAGATGTGATCGGCCAAAAATCAAGCTAAATGAACGAAAGAAAGATATCATTTCTATCAATCTTGCAGCAGATATTGAATCTGATTGGCCCATTACATCAGTCAAGTGGTTTAAAGATGGAGCTTTGCTAAAATACCAAATCTCCAAACGGTATATGGCAGATACTTGGGAAGAAATCACTCTGCCTTAGCTAAACTACGGATTTTTGACTTAAGTGAAGTTGGTGATTATCATGTATGTGCAGAAAACGTTGCTGGTATCAGTACGAGTAATGTGTTACGCTTGAACTTTGAAGGTATATATTTTGATTTATTATACTTTCATGTTAAATACTAAAATCTGATTGGTATAGACGCAGTTAACAATCTGTTCTATTACCCTCAGCCTTAGCAACACACGTAACAACGGGTAACACAACGGAAATGCCACATGCGTGGAAATTCACCGTAGAATTCTCAAAACGTCAGTTGCGCGTTTGAAAGAACTGGAATAAACTTGACGTCAATAAAAGCTTGCGTCCGATTTAGCTTACTTGAAAACAACAAACGACAGACAAAACATGCTTGCGAGTGCAGAAATAACGAAACTTTAGATGATAAAGGACTCGTAGAGTATCAAATAAACAATAAAGAGGTCAGTAAATCTTTTTCGAAGTAGCGGGGATTTTGAAAGCTTTCTAAACGTGAACGAAAAGGCGATCGACGATTTGTATTGCTGACATAGTTAATCAAGAAGACATTCAGTATAATAAAATAAATGGGCCTGATTTGGAGGGTAACAGTTGAAATTGACACCCCTCGGAAAACCATTTTCAACCTCCGCTACCGTCGGTTGACAATGATTTTCCTTGGGGTGTCAATTTCAACTGTTAACCTCCAAAACAGGCACCATTTATATAATATCAAATAGGTAATCACTATTTTTTTTTCTATTTTACTCTCTACCTATGACATTCAGTTCATCGTTTAGATATATCGAAGAGGTTTTATTTTTTAAAATATTGAATTTTATTCCTAAGTTGATTTGATGTATCCATTTGAACTTGAAAAAAAAATTGTAAAGTTTCATACATCTGTTATATCTCACGAAGCCCGTTATGTTTAAAATTTATCCCACGTTTCCCACTACCGTTGAGGTCCCTGGCATATATACTAACGAGACAGTGTTTCCCTTTATACTTCCATTTCAATATGAAATAAAATTGTAGATTAAGACTTTAAAAATGTAGACATAGATTTAAATTACACGAGGAATCCCACGCCTATTTGAAAGTCCTCGCCCACCGATGTCAAACACAAAGGCAGCCGCACGAGATTTACATGCGTATTTGGCCTCGATCCTTAGCATCAGACACAGACACAAATGCGCACAAGATTCGCATGCATATTAAGCCTCCTTCGCTCCTGACCTATCGATCTGCCTAATTTTCATTCCGGTAGAATTGTCAAGAAATCAACTCCGCTAACTTTCCAAGAGTTATCACAGTGAACAAAAACATGGAAAAGGAAATATAGAGATGTAAGATATCAGTAAATCAAATCGAAATTATTTTTTTCAAGTCCTCAGAAAGTAATGAAACACCCAACAACATAATGCTAACTTAATATTTTTGGTAAATATAGTTATATGTTTTACATTGGAGTTAAGTAACAATTTCATGATAGCAAGACCTATATCTTGGTTTACGGATTTTCAGGATTTTTTCGTTTATCCCGATCATGACAAAATGCACACACGGCAGTTGTAATCACATTCCTTTTTACAAATTGCTGAACATTTCTGCCATACATATGTTTTTTCTTAAGAATTACACAAATAGAAAAGAGAGAGAGAGAGAGAGAGAGAGAGAGAGAGAAGGAACAAGGGAGAAAGAAACTCTAACTAGACAAAGCTTTTAATTATTAAGTGTGTAAATTTTCAAATTGTCCAATCATCATAACTAATTGATGACATTCATTTCTTACAGTGATTTATGCATTTACATATTTTCCAGTTCAATCTTTCGCCACTTTGGATATGAAAATTTTTCCTGCCCATGAACGCGTAAAGCTACAAGGAAGAATTGAATCTAGTCAAATATTAACGGACGGACTTGGGTGAAAAATGGCAAAATCCTTCCTGTCAAAAATTCGAAAAAGTATGCAAGTTATCCAGAAACTGAAAATTGTCCTACTTTAGTGATCATGGATGTGTGCAAAGAAGATGAAGGGAATTATTACTTTACAGCAAAAAGTAGAAAAGCTGATGTAAAGAGCAATTATAGAACATTTGAAATAGAAAAGGGTCAGTACTTCAATTTTGCATGTTTGTGTTTCTGTTGTGTAAACGTTAACATTTTAGAATTTTTATTTAAAAAAAAATCACTGTTTTCCACTTAACTTGATATATCGTATCCTTTAGAGAGCAGGTCAAGTTTTGTTTGTCTTTGTTTCTTGTGTAAGGTAAGGTACCTGAATGAATATTAGATATAGGATTTTTTTTTTTTTTAAAGTCGATATCGCTTATTTGAACTTAGTTGAAGTGCAATTGGTAGTGTAATGAAATCAGTAAAAAACTAATGAAATAAACTCAGTATTTGTTATTTAAATGAAGATGACAAGTAGATTTGAATTTTACTAGAAATAGGGGATAAACAGGTACATGTAATATTATTTGGTTGAAAGTTATCTTTTTTTCTGTTTTTTTATTGTAAATACTGACTGGGAGGTATAACTGTAAAACAAATATAACAGTCCTTTACTTCAGTAAAAGTTTATACGAATATGTTCTTTATAGAGGATCCAAAAGTTACCATCCAAAATCCGATCAGAGATGGACAATTTACTACTTTATATGCAATTATTGAAAAGACAAGGTGGCCTATAAAAAGCTTAATATGGAAAAAGGATGACACTGTTGTCTACAAGGAAGAAAAATATGTCAATGCCAATGAAATTTGCACAGGTAGAATAAGACTATCAGGTGTCAAAGATGCTGGTATATACAAAGTAGTTGCCGAAAGTATTGCAGGAAGAAGCGAAGCTGAGAGAATAGTTCTTCAAGAAGGTACAATTATTTTATGTCTTGGTAGAAAAACATGTCTGTGAGATCCATTCAAAGGGTATTAGAGAAACACGTATTTGTTTTCTTCTGTACCTTTATACATATATTCATGCAATATGTCCCTGATATTTGATGTTTCTTTTCAAATAGTTTTGTAGTTGTTTTCATTCTTTAAAGGCTTTAACTACATGTATGTGTAAACAGAACCAAAACATTTAAATATATCCATAATAAATTAATAACAATAATATATTTTTCATTTATTAGAAATAGGAATTCCTGTGTATCCAATTCTTAAAATAGAAGTGGATAAATGTCACCGAAATTTGAGGCTAAATGTAACATCTTCATCGAAAGCAGAGATAAATGACTGTGTTTGGATGAAAAACGAAAAAATACTTCTCACTAAACTTGATGCAAGGTATCAACAGTTGTCATAAAGACAACAAATTCGAACTCGTTATCAAGAATGTTACTAAGAGAGATGAAGGGGAATATAAAGTAAATGTAATTGAAAACTCGGCGCAGTAGAGAGTAGAGGTGCTGTTTTTAAAATCGAAGAAGGTAATTTCTTTTGAAATGACTGTTATCAATTCAACCTGATAAGGAATAAGGTATTAATTTAATTTATTTTATAATATGGTAATATATACTTTCACAGAACCACCTAGAATTGTCGATTTTACTAAGAGAGAGGAAAACTCACGCGTCAAGATTTTGGCCGTCTTCGAGTCGGAATGGCCAGTAGATTGCGTAGTGTGGTACAAGAATGGGGAAGAATTGGTACCTTCTCAAAATTTTTCCATGCAAAATGATAGTCAAAACTGCAGTCTACTCTTGAAAGGTCCTTATAAAAGAGGATCGTATACCGTACAGTTGGAAAGTGTCGCTGGCATTGTGAGAGGACAAGACATTATCATAAATGACAAGGGTAATCAATTTTCTATTTTTATGTCATCTGATTCAATAAAAATACATTGCGATTGATTTAGTTTGTAGATGTCTTTTTCTTACTTTTAAGCTCATCTGAGCCGAAGGTGCAAGTGAGCTTTTCTGATAAAGAGAGTACGGTGGCCTGTCGTCCGTCTTTTGTCGTCTGAAACGTTCACATTTTAGACCTCTTCACTGCTTACAAATTATTATAAAAATTTTTACAAGTACTTCGAAATTGTAAACATTTTATGCAGTTTGAAATTTATCTTTCCATATCCACCCTTAGAGATTTGTTCTAATTTTTCTCACTAAGAATCAAATTATTAAGATTTCTACAGAAAATGAAGATCAATGAGGTTGATTTCATTCAATTTACTTGCCCCGTGGGGATCAGGGTTAGAATGGGTCCTCAGCATCCCCTGGCTTGTCGTAAAAGGCGACTAAATGGGGCGGTCCTTCGTATGAGACCGTATAAACCGAGGCCCCATGTCACAGCAGGTGTGGCATGATAAAGATCCCTCCCTGCTCAAAGGCCGTAAGTGCCGAGCATAGGCCTAAATTTGCAGCCCTTCACCGGCAGTGGTGACATCTCCATATCAGTGAAATATTGTGGAGAGGGACGTTAAATAGTATACAATCAATCAATCATTAAATTTACTCAAATAAACATGGGTATCCTGCGTAGCGCAGTGGTTAAAGAGTAGACGTAAGGAGTAGGGGGTGGTTTATCCTGATGCCGCAGGTTCAAACTGGGACATTGAGACATGTCTTTCGACTGAGATTGCATAAACTGAGGTCCCATGGCAGAAAAAGATCCCTCACTACTCAATTAATGGTCCTAAGTGCAAAGTATAGGACAAAATAATTTGCAGCTTTACACTGCGATGTGGCGTCTTCATTTAAGTAAAAAAGTTCTCCAGAGGAATTTTATACAACATGCAAACAATCAAACATATAAGGATGATTTTACTTTCTTTTATATGAAAAATGTTTGTATCATCAGTCCTTAACGAGTTTGCATTTAATGTCATATTATGGATGTGAACTTTCTCTACCTGTTCAAAGCACTATTTGGTTTGAAATATGACCCTTACGGATATTTTTTTCTGTTTTAGAAATAAACATTGAAAACGTTACTGCAAGTCCCTCAGCTCTGGTAAAGTCAACAGAAAGCATGCTTCTACCAGTAAGATGAATTGAGAGTAAAATATGTATGATGTATAAGATTTGTAATTAGTTTGAATATATAACCTTAACAAAAACCTTTTCATAATAAATGAATGCAAAATTTCTTAAAATATGCCAATTATATTTTAGGTTCTATCGCCTTTCAAAGGTTCCAGTGACTGTGACTCTTGTGATTATACGGTAAATTATTTCGAAACGACTTATCAACAATTATCAACATGCAAAACTATTAAACAAAGAATTTTTTTTAAAAAGACATTCCAAAACAAGTGCACCAAAATAAAGTCTTATGGGACGTTTTCAAGTGAATGCAGACATGTTTTAGTTTGAATATTAAGTCATGGCCAGGTATTCATTTATTATGAAATATGTTCTTAAAGTTATTATTGAGGTTGTAAATATTAGCCTGTACTACAAATGCCATGATAAGTTAAACGTGAACAGCGGATATAAGGAGTTCGTAAATTTACAACAAAATTCATGGTAAACGATTTTTTTTTATTTTATGTTTGTTTACGTAGCAATTGAAAATGCTAATCAAACTTTCAAGTTTACGTGATATATTTTCACCAAACCGTTTATAAAAAATTATGTCACCGGGTACATGTATAAGACACATTATTCCCTATGTAGCTAGTAACACGAGCTTTGATTGGTGTAAATTTCCGTGCACCAGACTTAAACCAAAGGTAAATAAAATATAACGTCACAATGCATATTTTCTCTATGATAAAAAGCAAATGACAAGATATCACGATGCATTGTAGTTCGTAGTAAATGTTATTGATAGGTTAAGACACAGTTGATTAACCAGTTTAAAAAAATTTT